GTGAATAACGGTATTAAGATATAAGTTCATCCATCTTCAGATTCACTGAAAGCATCTTCAGAACTGCAATAGCACACAGGATGCCAGGGATGACATCTACCTTGTCCTATTCCCATGTGGCTTTAATTTCTTCCAGTAGGTCTCGGTATTTTGAAACATTTTGATCCATCTGGTTTGTTGAGTATGTATACTCAGTATGACAGCAGCTATTGAAAACATTGTTCTTAAATTTTTATGGATTAATGTTATGTCTTGGTGGTTGAAGCAAGAATTATGTTTTTACTAATGTTGAGCTTATTTTTTCTGAGTTCTCATGGGTATTTTAGGATCTATATTTGTAGCAAAGGAATTTTTCTATTATTTTATTGTCATTTATTAATTAGTCCAAATCTGTAATTTCATCCTTTCTTACTTTACAACAAAACTGATCTATGAGAAAACATTCCACCCCACCACTTACAAACTGGTTATCCCAAGAAGATTAGTATAAAGCTTCTAACTAAGCCAAATCTGCCATTACTTATTCCTATTTTTCCTAGCTTACTGACTTTGATATCAAACTTTTCAGTTCCAGTGATCTATGTGTCAGTTAATTTATCAACATCAGCATTCTCATGTTGTGAACTGATTTGAATAGTTCTTGCAATAAAGGAATCAAAGACAAATCCTTGATTCTTCTCCCTTTTCTTTTTCAACCAGTTGCTGTGATGCTTTTTCAAGAGCTATTTGAAGGGGTGGCAGGTGGCACAATGGATAAAAGCACCAGGCCTGGAGTCAGGAAGACCTGAGTTCAGATTTTGCCTCAGACACTCACTAGTTGTTTGACCCTGGGCAAGGCACTTAACCCTGTTTGCCTTAGTTTTCTCATCTGTAAAATAAGCTGCAGAAGAAATAGCAAATTAGTAGCTTTGCCAAGAAAACCCCAAATTGGGTCACGAAGAGGTGAAATAAGACAAGAACAAATATTAAGTTTGGGTTTTTAATAGTAGTTTACTTCACTCTCTCTTCAAACTAAGTTACCTAAATACGATGACAACTTCATTTTGTAGTTACTGTGTTGTGTTGTACATCGTGTCATCTGTACAGTGCCTACTACATTGTGGGCATTGAGTTAACATTAAAGTATCATTTAGCTACTTTTATTCTAAAATTAGTGTTCATGCATTATATGCAAAATCCACTAGCCATAAGGAGGTACTTTATATGATGTTTTTGTTTTCTACGGATAGTTTAAGGTTAATCAAATGGAAGAAATCCAGTGTTGGATTCTCTTTACTTTGCATTTTATTTTCTAAGAAATATGTCCTTAGTTTTGGCAATGTTGCGTAATAGTAGCTTATTACCATAAACCACTTGCTGTATTTACTAGCTTCTTGTTTTTGGTGCAGCAGATATTTTAGAAAACGGGTCTTAAATGTCATGCTTCAGTATACAAGCTGATTGTTTTGCAGCATTTGAAAGGAATTTTAGCCTCAATGTTAGTATTGTGCTACCCTTCAGTGTCAATAGGGGACGAGTTTAGGGATCATACTACTTTTACAGAAAAATCTGAATAACCAGGACTTGTTAGCTCAGCTCAACTATCAGTGTTTAGCTACCATGCCTCTTCATTGTCTTATAGCACTGCCCTGGTTCTCATGAACAATTACATACCTAACAGTATATACACAACAGCAGATGGAAAATCCTTCATGCCTTGGTGTATATATATATACTTGTGTGTGTGTGTGTGTATTTACACACAGAAAAAAGTGTGTATGAATCTGAGTTGCTGTTAAAAAATAATTATCTGGTAGCCAGCTTTCTGGTCCTTGGAGAACCAATCTGTAAGTAGACCTCTACTCAAGGCCTTTCTAGCTTGCCAGAGCTTATGTTCTCTTGGCATAACCTTTGAGAACCTCAGGGTCACACCCATGACACAATGAAATGCTTACCAGAATGGCACTGGAAAGAAGTAGAAAGTAACAATCTTACTCCGCTATCAAATTGTTCTTTGAGCGGCTACGTGGTACAGTAGCTAGAACACCAGCCCTGGAGTCAGGATGGACCTAAGTTCAAATCCAGTCTCAAGACACTTGACACTTACTAGCTGTGTGACACTGGGCCTATTATTACCTACCAAAAAACAAAAAAACAAAAAAAAAGAAACCAAACTGTCCTTCCTAAAGTACAGTTCTGACCATGTCACATCCCTATTCAAGCCACTTCAATGCTTACCACCTATCACCTCTGGGATCAAATAGAAAGTTCTCTGGTTTTTAAAATTCTGGATAACCTGGCCACTTCCTACCTTACCATTCTTTTTACACCTTACTCCCCTCCATTTACTCAATGATGCTGACCTCCTTGCTGCTTCTGATACAGGACATTCCATTTCCTGACTCCAGGCATTTTCACTGGCCGTCCTCCATGTCTAAAACTCTCTCCCTCTTCATTTCTTCCACTCGACTTCCCTGGCTTCTTCAGGTCTCAGCTAAAGTCCCACCTTCTGCAAGAAACCTTTCCCAGTTCTCTTTAATCTTAATACCTTCCCTCTGAGATGATCTCAAATTTATCCTTTATATGTATTGATTGTATATAGTTGTTTCATGTTTTCTTCCCTATTACCATTGTGACCTCCTTGGGAGCGGAGACTGCTTCCTCCCACCCCCTTTTGTATTCCCAAGTACTTAGCACAAATGCCTGGCACACAGTAGGTACTTAATAAATGCTTGTTGACTTAATTTGGGGCTTTCTCCCTGCCAAGCATTTCTATCCCACCATGATCTCTTCCTTTTCTTTATTAGAGGATTGGAGAGGCTCTCAGCTTGTATTCCTAATAGAAAACTTGGGAAGCACTGGGTTTTTACTATTACCAGTGTAGGAACAATTGCAAAAGGATTTCCTGTGAATTTTGTCTATGTAAGGAAAATCTCACTAGAAATAAATATTTTCTATTTTATACCATGTGTATTTTATACCATATAAATTATATCAATTTATGATTGTTGACATTCACTATGGTTCTGGGTGGTAATTTTAGTTTGTCCTATTTCTGGATTAAGGCCAACAGCATCTTTTCAAGTCTCCAAACCTATTCCTCTTCCTTTTCATTATTTTTGTCAATTTATCCTATCATTTACTAATACTCTCTGATACTGAAAACTTTGGTATTATTTTTGACTCTTCTCTCTTCCTTACCTTTCATATTCCAGTTAACTACCAAGATTGTTTCCACAGTCTCTGATGTATTTGTCACCTCTGTTCTCTTTCTACTACCATTATAGTACAAAGCCTCCATTTCCCCCTGCCAGGGATATTCTATCAGATCATTCCACCTCTAATCTCTCACTACCTTTGTTTTCCTGTTCTGTGACATTGTCATACAACTAAAAAGGTGGAAGCAGTTATCATAGTGGGGGAAAAAAACACACACACACACTGCTACCAGACTTAGCTCATGTTACTCTTGTGTTTAAAACTCTTTACCAGCTCTTTATTGCTAGCCAAGTCAAGTTCTGACTGTTTAGCCTGGCATTCAAAGCCTTGGGAGGTCTGATTTCACCCTACATTTTTAGCCTTGTTTCTGGTGGATAAAAGAGCTTGCTAAGCAAATTAAATGCAAACAAATCAAATGTACAAATAGCCTGCTCTAAGGCTGAATACCAACAATCTTGTCAAAGAGTACTTTCAGTTGTTGTTTTAAGTTAATGAATGGGCTAATTATAAATATATATGTTAAAGCATTTATACCTAAGATTTATGGTTTAGCTCTCCATTCTTCTATTAGCTAATTCAATTGAATATAATGAAATTTCATCTCTTTAAAATATTCTAAAATTCTGATGTTAGCCTAAGGTAAAGTGATAATCTCTATAATTAAAATAAATTTAGTTTATTATAATTATGGAATGGAAGGAAAAGGACAAAATACTGTTGGACTGTTGCATCTCTTAAAGGTACCTTTTGTTTAAGGCCCAAGGAAAACAAGGAATAGGTTATCTAGGAATCTTTTTTCCTCTTATTTGAATCCGGTTTAGGTTTCCTAAAGAGGAAAGACTGTGAACTACTTGAGGACAGGGACTGCCTTTCTTTGTATCCTCAGTGCCTGGTACCTAGTAGACGCAATGCTTGTGGACTTGAGGACACTGCTTTATAAATTGTTATTGTTCCAGGGGTGAGGACCCTGTGGCCTCCTAGGTCCTTGAGTGTAGCCTTTTGACTGAGTCCAAGTTTTGTGAAGTTTGAATTCAGTCAAAGGGCCACACTGGAGGACCTAGAGGGCCATATGTGGCCTCGAGGCCCCAGGTTCCCCACCTCTGTACATTTTTCAGTCATGTCCAATTCTTCTGTGACCCCTTTTTGGGGTTTTCTTGGCAAAGATACTGGATACTCCAGCTCATTTTACATGAGGAAACTGAGGCAAACAGGGTTAAGTGACTTGCCCGTGGTTACACAATTCATAAGTATCACAGGTCACATTTGAATTCAGGTCTTCCTGACTCCAGGCCCAGTGATCAATCTACCCATTATAAACTATAAAGTGTCATAAATAAATGTGACTTGTTATCTACTATGACAGATTTTGATGTATTAAAATATGAACAACTTGGTGAGCTCTATGGGAAACTAGCCTTTGTGCTGGTATCCATAGAATTTCCTATAGCCAATGTTCTGAGTGGTATGGTTGGCATAGCCAAACAATTTTCAGCCATTTAAGTAATTTCAGTTACTTCCAAGATTGCCTAATTATAAAATGTTTGTGGGTTTCGATGGAGTTAATCCTGTGTTTTATGATGAGGCTTATAATGTGAGGACAGGGTGGGGTTGAACAGGGAGTTTCCGGACCAATTTGGTAAGCTTACCTAGATGTAAGCTTTAGACTCTTTGATTGTCTATACCTCTCGCTATAGAGGGTGTGAACATACAGGTTGGCAAAAGAGAACTTCTCATTGTTTCAGTGACTGAGTTACCCTAAAATGAATTGGTTGATTTGGAACCACCCTTTAAACAAAAGGTACCTTTAAAGGACATCCCGAGATGGAACAATGCAACAGTGTTTTGTCCTTTTCCTTCCATTCCATAAATGAATCAGATGATTTGGACTATTGGGAGGACTTCGAGCCACCCTTTTCTTCTGGCCTTTAAGAATTAGGCTGCTTTTTTGCCTTTTGTTTTCCATCTTTCTTCTGGCAAGATTTCTGGAGATAGAGAAAAACAGTGTTATTGTCTGTTGAGGGCAGGTAACAGAAGGGAGAATTCCTTTTGCCCACCCCTACCCCAGTTGTTAATGGCTGGCTTAAGGCAGAAGTACAGGTGAGCTACTTGTATGTGCTATATGTCCATGAAGCTGAGTGTTCCTGCCTGCCTTTACCTTCTCCCTTTCTTAGCACAGGTCAGCAGAGAGACTGGAAAAAAGGTAGGTTTTTTAAATGCTAAGTTGCTCAGTGAAGGAGACTCAGTGGCTTTTTCTCCCTACAATCCATTTCTTCTGAGCTTGTGATTTCTTTCACAGAAGGAACAGAAATGAGTCTAGGCTTCCATATTTGGTCTGAGGTACTTCTGCATACAGAATACAACAAAGTTCATGTGTGTGATGTGTGTGTGTGTCTGTATGTCCATCTGTGTGTCTGTGTCTAGATGGCTCCAGCCCCGAAGTGAGTTTTATTGAACAAATAAATATCTCTTGTCTTTGAAGGGGAAAATCCCTTTTCTAATAAGTGCACGCAGTAATCAACTCAAATCAGCATTAATGGTCTTTAGGGTTTATATGTGTATTTTAGATAATAGCAACTGTAAAAATAAAACAATTTGAGAAATCAGAATCCTTTCCCAGTGCCGGCTTCAGCTTGTCTCACTTCTTTTGGACAAGGGGAAAACAGAAAGTTGAAGGGTTCTGTACTGGTGGTAAGAGAATTGTCTTCTCCCTGGAACAGGAGTTCTTAACCTGGGGTCCACGAATTTTTTTTTGAGGGGGCTAGGCAATGGGGTTAAGTGACTTGCCCAGGGTCACACAGCTAGTAAGTGTCAAGTGTCTGAGGCTGGTCCTCCTGACTCCAGGATGGGTGCTCTATTCACTGTGCCACCTAGCTGCCCCCAAGAATTTATTTTTTTTTTAAAGATATTTTGATAATTGTTTCAATATATTTTGTTGCCTTTGTAATTCTGTGTGTTTTAAGCATTTAGTCATTTAAGAACCCTGCCCTGGAGAAGAGAAAGTTAAGTGAGAAGAGTCAGCACCTTGTGTTCTGCCAGCTGAGATGGGAGTCAGCTGTACAATTTATCACCGTATCTTCCCAACTTACACTTGCTATAGTATCTCACTACATATGCTACCTATGTTCCTCCCAATTGATGGTGTCGTCCATAACATCAACGTGTTCTAGGGACTAAGAGGTTTTAATTTCCAAGAACAGTTACACTGACAGAAAACCCACATAAACAAAAGTTGTTTCGGGTCTTCAATCATTTTTAAGAGTGGAAAGGGGTCCTGAGGCCAAAAGGTTTCAGAACCACTACTCCACAGCAACTACTTGTTGCTCCTGGCATCCTTCTCCCCTTTCCTACAAATCTGTTCAACCTGAAGGTCTTGGGCAAAACCTTAAAACTTGGGGAATACTGGGTAAACTACCCAGCTAACAGACCTATTCCCACCTCCACAAAACTTCCAAGTAAAATGCCTCAATGGGCTTAGTAAAAAGATGGATTACACCTACGTAGATGGAAGTAGGGTTACACTTGCAATAAATCTCTCACTACAAACCATTAATGTCTTTTTGTTTTTCTTTCTAAAAACTCTTGAACTCATTAATATCCTTATAGCTAGCTGGTCTAAAGGATAAGACACTGGAAATATTGTATTCAAAACTCACTCTCAAACCTTTGTCTATAAATTGTTATGCCAATTGTGATAAATTGATCAAAACATTTGGCTTAATCTTAGTACGGCAGTTACAGAAGGTATAAATAGGAAAATTACCAACAGTGCATTTGGTTCCAGACTCTAAAGTTTAGTCCAAAGGTAAAACAGTTTAGTAACATAGACTTACAAGTTGATGATAAACTCTTCTCTTTCGTATACTAAGTATACCCATTAAAAGTCTAAAATTTAAAACCTTTACATTTTCTGACTGCTGGCTAGCATAAACTTGCAATTAAAGTAAAAACCAGAAGTTGCTCCTTTTTTAATTCAATATGGGGGAGAAAAGTATTGGCTTTTTGGAACTGGAGGGCTTCTTCTTGCAGGTTTTTCAGATACAATATATTCCCAAATGCAAAGAATGCCTTCTAATTACATCATCAAAATGGACATGAACTCTAAGCTTAATTTATTGAGCATACCAGTCAAGGTGCAAAGAGCTGCTGTCATAAACTAAAGATATGAACTTGGAAATTTCCCTGAACACTTAGGTCAGAGATCGGCATCAATTATTTCTTTAACTAGGTGCTGAAGAAAGCTATGTACCTCTTAATGAGAGAAATTTCCTTCCAAATGAAAACTTGAGAAATTTAAACTCTTTGACAATACAAAACTGATCTGTGTACTTGTACTTTGAGGAAATATTTTTCATTCTGGATATACTGATCAAATCTAAGTTTATGGAGGGTAGAGACTATATCTTAACTTTTTGTAAAACCTAATCCCCTCCCCCATCCTCAAATTCTAGCTCAATAACTTTGTGCAACTCAAATATTTTTTTGAGTGAATGAATGAATGATCTTGGTGTAGTGGAGAGAACTAGACTGTGTCAGGACACTTGGGTTCAGATTTTGTCTCTGACAGTTTACCTAGCTTGTGACCTCTGACTAGTTATTTTACCTCCGAAGCTTAATTTTCTGATCTACAAAACAGGGATGATAGTACTTAACAATCGATCTCACAGGGTTGTTTTGAGGAAAGTACTTTGTAAACCTTGAAATGGCTTAATATGAGTTGTTATCATGATACTGACTAAACGAAAGATTCTGACAAGCCCTCCTTAAAATTTCCGTCCTGAGAGATATTAATAGACTTACCTTAAAAATTAGAACCTATCTGGTCGACGTACAAGACGTTCTTCTGTGAAAAATAGAAAAAGGGCATGAAGTAAACTACCTCTTCATTTTCCCATCCTGAAAGTTTTTGTGCGCAAAAATTGGCCTCGTGAGCCAAACAATGGAAACATTAAATTAGCTGTTGGACTGACTGTTTCACGAACCTTGGCCGGTCACCTGTTTTCAGGTAGCCCAGGGAAAGTAGCTGGTGTGGTCTTTGCCGTTCTTCTACTTAATAACAATAAGAGGTGGAGTGGTTAATCCTTTTAAGTGACAGATGAACACGGCTGAAGGCGTGTCCTTTCATCTCCCCTCCGCCCCTCTGGGGTTGTAGGTCACATGAGCGGGGAGGACTTCCCCATTCCCTGTCCCAATCTCCAGCAGTTATTGTGTGAAGTCCTTAAAGCCGGGCTAGCAGAGAAAAGTGGCCCTGGAAGAAGGACAACAGGAAACCCAAAGCATCTGAAAAATCCGAGTTCAAAGAATGCCCCAGTTTACAGTGACTAAAGTAGAAGACACAGAGGAGGGGGGAGCAGTTTTCGTTAGTCCAGAGGAGCCCAGCCTGGTAGAGGCGAAACCCCGGATTCAGGATCCCTGTGAACCAGGTGAGCAAGCGAAGAGGGAGTGGGGGAGCACACCCTTTTCGGGCTGGAGATCGAGGGTGGAGAGTTCCCAAGCTGCTCATTGCTTTGGGTATAGATGTAGCTAAAATGACATTGGGAACTAAGACCCTTCTACTGTCGATCCGAATTAGGGGCACATAGAGGTTGTTGTCCCGTTTTTCATATTCCTTATCTGTTGCTTCTCCAGATTTTTTCTCGTTTTGTTTTTTTGTTTTTTGTGTTTTTTCTTCACGAGATGTGTCCCACCAGCTTTCAGAATTTGGAACCAGTCGTTAGCACCAGCATGTGTGATTTTCGCACACACAAACAATGAAAAGAGCAGCTTGTGTGTTGATGCTGCATTTAGTGTTGAAATGTTGCCCATAGACGTTATCTAGTAACAACTTTAACCAAACGACATGAGGGCATTAAAATTTAACAGCTTATTAAAATATCACAGAGCATGGTTCAGTAGTTTACTACCTTGGACTTTGAAGCTCTCTCTAACTTTTAAAGTTACTTACATCTTTCCTGGCTTGGTTTACCAGTTGCTGAGTATTGGAGGGAACAGCTAGTTGGTGAAGTAGTTTAAACATTATTTGATGAAAGGACAGAAATGTAACAAATGCCCATTGTGGTGGCTGCACTTTATATAACAAAAGAGCTTAGTAAATATTTGGTGAGGGTGATTGCCTCTGTTATTAATTTTTACTACAAACAGCAACTCTTTTTAACTATTGCTACAAAAAATGACTTCCTGACAGCCCTGTCAGATTTAAACCATTGCTTGACTGTACTTTGGTATTGAATATTCCCATTTAGAAGCATCTTAAAAGTTTGTGAATTTCCTAAAGTATCAAGACTTCTTCAAGGCAATGAGACAGATGATATAAATGGTTTTTCAAGGGCTCTTCCTGTTCTGTGATTACATGATTCCAATGTTTCATCTTTTAGTAAGCACCAGGACAACAATTGGATAGAATAGACAAGCATGGATAGGTTGTGACCTGCAGTGCAGGAGGGAATACACATATCAAATCATACGTCCATTGGTATATTGGCTCAGCTGCCATAGAGTGTAATTGCTCACCTAGCTCTTAAGGATTTTTGAAGACAGAGTTGTTCTGTTGTATCCAACTTTTCTTGACCCCACGGACCATATGGCATGCCATTCTGATGTCATATATCCTACAGCATTTTAATATGGTTCATGAGGTTTTCCTGGCAAAGATACTTGAATGGTTCACCATTTCCTTCTCCAGTAGATCACCTTTTATCAGTGCTCTCCACTGTGACCTGTTCACCTTGGGTAATCCTGCAAGACATAGCTTATGGTTTCACTGAACTACACAAGCCCCTCCACCATGAGAAGGCAGTGGTCCAGGACAGGCTCTTATAGAGAATATGGCTTAATCTTTTTCTGTTAGGAGAAAGACTAATGATAACTCAGGTCAGTTATTGTAAATATGATGGAAGACATTAGGACCATAAGTTATTCTCATTCCATTCAACATAGAATTCACTGAATAACCAGACAGAATGATAAACTTCAGGGCAGCTTTCATCTACTTTGTTTTGTTTTGGTTTTTTGCTAGGCAATGGGGTTAAGTGACTTGCCCAGGGTCACACAGCTAGGGCGTGTTATGGGTCTGAGGCCGCATTGGAACTCAGGTCCTCCTGACTCCAGGGCTGATGCTCTATCCACTGTGCGGCCTAGCTGCCCCAGCTTTCATCTACTTTGAAACTGAACTTGGTACTCTAGCATTTCAGTAAAAAGAAGCTGTCTTTCATGCTTATGCCTTAGCCTACACCTGACGAATGTTTCTACTTTTAGATGTTAACCCATTGCCACAACATCGTCCATTGTTTTTGCTGCTCTTTATTAATTATACGAAATGGGAAACAAGTTCATCCTTTTACATTCTTCATCTCATTTTCTCTCTTATTCATTCTCTTTCCCATGATCCCAGTTTTACCAGAGAAAGATTCCTAGCTCCAGAATGTTTGTAGGAAACTGAGATTAGAAATGTTTTAGTTAGTGACATAGCAGGTTCCTACCCAGGTGCACTGTGTAGTCTCTTTATCTCTCCCAGCTAAGATCCTGTTGCTAGGAAATCTGCTAAGGGCTGCATTGCACCTCTAATCTATGTGATTATCAAAGAGGTAATCAGTTGAGAAGCTGAGGAAAGAAGAGAAGCATCTCAGCTTCCCAAAAGAACTCCTTATATGTACATAATGTTTTTAAGATTTACAAAATTTCCTCATAATGACTATGAAGTGGGTAGTAAAGGTATTACTATCCTCATTTTACATATAGTGGAGTGAGTTCCCTAAAGTTATAGAGTTAATAAGAAGTAGTAAAGACAGGACTTGAAACAAGAGTCTGATGCCAAGCTCTAATAATCTTGACTTGGTTGGTGGTGGTGTTCTTTGGGAGCATATTGTTTAAGAGGGATTGCAGATAAGCCTAGTCATGACTAAGGATAAGTGTGTTATCGAGCTCCTCCAATGGACAAGACATTGTGATAGGCCCTATGGGGGATACAAAGAGAGAAGATAGTGATCTTTGCCCTCATGGAGCTTAAAGTCCAGTTGGGAAGACAGGACAAATAAATAAAAATATAACATGTTTTCTTGTATTGTGATTTGATAATTGATTATAGAATAAAATGTTCAATCAAGATATGAATAGCTAATTAATTATTTATAATGACATTCATATGGTGCTTAAAGTTTATACAATGCTTTTCTCACTACAACCTTGTGATGTGTATAATACAGGTATTATTCACATTTTACAAATAAGAGAACTTAACCTCAGAAAAATAAAATAACTTCCAAAAGATTCTGGCTGGTAAATGGTAGAAACAGAACACCAGCTTTGAGATAGGCTTAGAACAGGCATTCTTAACCTGAGGTCTGTGGATAAATTTCAGAGGGTTTAGAAAAAAGATTACATCTTTATCTTTCACTAAATCCTAACCAAAATTTAGCCTTTGCATCTCTTCAGTTACAATGTTACAGTAACATGTGTTACTGTGAGACAGGGTACATAGGTTTCACTAGATTGCTAAAGGTGTCACTGACACAAAAGAAGTTATGAATCACTTGCTTAGAATCATGGATCTAGAGTCAATCTAGTACAGCCCACTTATTTTTACAACTGAAGCCTAAGGAGGCAGAATTTGAATCCATATCCTTTAACGCCAGAAACAGTACTTTTTCTATAGTACTATCATGTCTTCCTTTGAGAGGGAAGGAGGAATAAGAATTCATATATCATCTATTATGTTTCAGGTGCTATGCTAAGCAAGCTCTGAAAATAAATGACCAAAGCGGCACAGAGGTTGTATACCAACTGTTAACTCTAACCAGATAGCCACAGAAGTTATACCAAAAGCTTTATATACCTATTGTCAACTCTGAAAAATAAAATAAAACCAAGAGTTCATGGAGGTTATAGGCAAAAAAGCCTTCTTTATTCTGTTGGAGGAGGAAAACTAGCCACACATGCAGGAGGAGACCCAAAGTAGTGAGGCTAAGCCTTGATACATATAGTTTTGGGAAGACAAAGAACTGAGCAGTGAGGTATAGCCATAGCAGTGAGGGGTAACAGCAACAATGAGGCAAGTTTGCCTAGTGAAAAAAAAATCTATTCATAGCAGGATGACCAGAATTCATATAGCACTCGTTACATATCAGATGCTGTTCTAAGCACTTTTTTTTAAAACAAATATCTCCTTTAATCCTCACAACAGCTTTTCAGGATGAGTGCTATTTTTATCCCTGTTACAACTGAGGAGACTGAGCAGAGATTAAGTGAATTACCCAGCGTAATTCAGCCAGCAAGTGTCTGAGGCTGGATTTGAACTTGGGTCTACCTGACTCCAGGCCCTAGCACTTCATCTACTTCACTACTACCTGTCTCTGATCTTTGAGAAAAACATATTATTTTCTCTGATTCTCACTTATGTCTCGTTTGGTCATGAACTCCCCATGCAAGGATCCAAAAAGGCAATTTCTTCTTTGTTCTTCTAATTTGTTTTTGATGTAGGAAATATTTGTTATAATGATTTTGTTTTTCTTTTCCTTTTTAATAGGAATAGGGGAGAGAGGAAGGAAAGAAAATAAGTGCTTATTAATTTAAAAACTTTTTTAAAAGCACATGTTAAGAATACTATCATAGAAAAATCTATGTAAATCCTAGTTTTTCTTTCAACAAATCTCTCAGAACAAATCAAAATAATGATAAGATTTTGAATTTCCCAGGGTTCCCACAAAGTTTTCTACTAAATAATTTACATTTCTCATGATTCTTAATGTTTGCAAAAGACTTTTCTTCCAGCTACCTTGTGAGTAACTCGTGGCTTTCTAATTCACTAACAGCACCACCATATCTTACGGAGTACCTGTTTTACCTAGAGTACAGACCTGGTCTGTGGATTATAAAGTTTACGTATGACTTCTCCCTGTTCACTTGAAGCTTACTGTTTAGTTGGGGAATAACTTGTCATTATATATTTAACAAAATACAATTCAGTAAACATTTACAAAAAACTGTCCCTTCACTCAAGTAGCTTATATTCTTTCTACCAGATGCCTTTAATAATTCAGCCTGAGAGATATCTTGGTGGTTATCCTTCAATGAATACATAGTA